GAAAAGAAGACTTGATCTCTTGATTGAGCACATAAAGAGGCTGCTGCTCCAGTGTTGCGGTTGATCTAAGTGACAAGGTCTCATCTCTCAGTTCAGACTGACTTGTAGAATGGTGTTTGGAAGAAATATGCGGATGTCGAGCTTGGTGAGAGGGTTCAACACTCTGATTAAGAGGGTACAAAATTGGCGGCCATTCCTAACTTGGGTGATTACATTCCTCAAATTGCTTCACTTGATCTACGGGGCTGACAAAGCGAGCAAAGGCGATTGCCAAGGTGTTTGATGGCTTCTTGGAAGGGCGATGATAAGCATTTTGATTCCAGGATAAAATAGAACAAGGACTTTGTTGATGTCATGTTGAGCTTCATGGGATCAGAAGAAACCGAATACAAGATTGAGCGAGCACGTCAAGGCCATGCTCTTGGTAACATCTGAGAATTGTTAGACTTGGAATCCATTTTTAAATTTGAATTACTAAAATTTCTTTAGTTTCCAATTATTTTGTTTTTATTTCTATTAAAGATTATTTTCTTCTTGAAATGAATATGATCAGGACATGCTTGTAGCTGCAGATATGTTCAGCTGCACTATTGAGTGGATACTTTCAGAACTTTAAAACATCCTGAGATTGTGGAGAAGTACAAAAAGAGTTGGAAAATGTCTTGGGACTAGAAAGGATGGTAGAAGAATCAGATTTGATGAACTTGGAATACTTAGACATGGTTGTGAAAGAAACCTTAAGACTCCATCCTGTAGGACCTCTATTGATCCCTCATGAATCCCTGGAAGATTGCACAGTAAACGGCTTTCACATATCGAAAAAATCGCGCATTTTTGTAATGTTGGGCGATCGGAGGGACCCTGAAGCATGGACTGATCCGAAAAGTTTTTCCCGGGAAGGTTTATTGGGAGTAATATTGATCTTCGGCGCCCATCACTTTCAGCTTCTCCCATTTGGTTCCGGCCGCAGAAGCTGCCCTGGAATGCAATTGGCACTCACATTGATGAACTAGTGGTAGCACAACTTGTGCATTCTTTGATTGGGAGCTTCCAAATGGGATGTTGCCAAGTGAATTGGACATGACTGAGGAATTTAGTCTTGTCACTCCTAGAGCAAATCATCTTGTTGCTATTCCTACTTATCGCCTTCACAAATATTGACATGGCCTGTGTAATTTCTGAAATAGTCTTCAGTCGTGCACATCAGAACTTGCATTCTACTGAATAATTTTTTTGAATATTAATAGAGGCATTTCAGAACTAGAATTCAAGTCACTGTATAACTTTTATATGCAAATAAAAATATCTACTTTTTGTTATTTTACCATTTTTGCTTTTGTTTGAAATAGAGTGAATCCAGTTTTGAAATTTTACTACTTTAATTTATCATTTGGAAAGCCATAAAGTCAACTGTCCATGTTTTAGTGTAAGAATTGGGGTGCAACACGAACACAACTCTGGAAAAAATTACTACTAATAATGACACGGTAGAACTGATGGTATTGGATACTGTTTTAGTTGATGTTATTAAGCTTTTATATTTGTTGAATCGTGACATGCCGATTAACTTTTAGGTCATGATTTCAAAACTAAAGATTTCAGGTTCAAATATTCATGTTATTGTATTGACGAGATAAGCTGAATTTTAATGATATTTTTGTCAAAGAAGTATCTTGAAAGTCATAATTCACATTATCGAATTACGGGACAATGTAGAATCCCTTGTAGCTATTCACAATTTTATTATTTAGGTGGGTGTTGTAATGTTTTAATCTATATTTGTTGTAATGTTCATGAATGGTTCAGATTTTATTTTTCATCTTCGGACTATTAGGAACAGGGTTACTTCCCTAGTTTGTACATTTTTTTTTTTTTTTTTTTTTTTTTTTTTTTTTTTTTTTTTTTTTTTTTTACAGAAAGAATTGGAAAATGTTGTGGGACTAGACAAGATGATTGAAGAATCAGATTTGGAAACCTGGAATACTTGGATATGTTGTGAAAGAAACCTTGAGGCTCCATCTTGTGGCTTCTTTGTTACTACCTCATGAATCCATGGAAGATTGCACGGTAAACGGCTTCCAAATACCACAAATCCACATCTTAATAACGCATAGGCGATTGGAACAGATCCTAAGCTTGAGGTTTGTTGGGAGTAAATCGATCTTCGTGGCCGTGACTTTCAGCTTCTTCCATTTGGTTCTGGCCGCAGAAGCTGCCTTGAATGCATTGGACTCACTTTGGTGAGGAAGTGTTGGCACAACTTGTACATTGCTTTGACTGGGACTTCCTAATGGGATGTTGCCAAGTGAATCGGACATGACTGAGGAGTTCGGTCTTGTAACTCCTGGCCAAACATCTCTTGGCTATTCCTACTTATCGTCTTAACTGATGATAATGCGGCTAGCCTCTGAAAGAAGCAAACTACAGAATAGCCAAGCCTCTTGTAGCTATTCCTACTAATCGCCTCAAGAAATGATATGTTGCTTGGAGCCTCTGAATAAAATATTGATCTCTAACTTAGAATACCAGTGGAGAATTCAGGTTGTATGATATTATATATCCTGGATATATAAATAAATGAACTTGTATGTCGGTTGATCAAGAAATGAATTCAGGTTAGAAACGAGTTTTCGCATAATAATTAGTCAAAATTTCATATTCTTCTGTGCTGGCTGTATTCGTTTGGAGTTGTTGGGAAAAGCCGCAAACTCAATTAAGCGAAAGCAAATCAAATCACCAGTCAAATAAGCAAATATTAAGGCACCCTAACCAAATCAACACTGAATTTTTTAACTTGAAAAACCTTATAGAAAAAGGAAAAAAACAAGGTGACCATAACCATGCACACATAAACTCCAGTATCAGTATGAGTTACAACAGAAGTTCTTCTCTAAGAAAATATTAAAACATACAGTCACAATGTTCTACACTCAAAACAATTTTTTTTTTGTAAAAAAAAATCGACCAGAAAATATTTTAAATTTGTATTAATCAATAAGTTTAATTATCAATAATCTCTTAAAATAATAAAAACTCCGATAAAAGTTGTAAGTTTTAAAGGGGTTACCAAGTGATTAAAACTTATGTGAATATTTTACTTGTTCAATTTAATACAAATGAGTTGAGAATAACTGAATTAAAACATACATAAAAATAAGTAAAGAACATGTCATTTTTACATGATTTGGCATCAAGCCTACATCTATGGGATCACGTCAAGAGGAAGCAATTTGTTATGAAATATTATGATTTCAAATACAAAGCAAATAACCACAGTAAAACACCTCCATATTTTCTACACAGCGACTCAATATTCTTTGGTTGAACTTCAAGCCATCAACAACAGCTTCACATGCATACCATCGTCATGTTGAAGAAGAGTTCCTCCAGAGTTCAACAATGAAGACAGAACAATAGCTTGCACTCAAGCTCTCCTCACAGAAAAACAACAATTTAAGATCTCACAGAAGGGTAAGTGATGAAGCGCATTTAAAGCCTATAAGCATAAAGAAACCTTAACAAAAACAAACCTTCGGAATATTTAGAGGTAGAACAATATAATATGGTTTTCTATCAAACAATAAAAATACAACATAAATAAAGATTAACACGTTAAAGATGGGGACATAAAGTAAACTTTTTTGGACCACAGTATTAATACTCCTTTCTTATTCAGCAAATAAAAAGGATCAAGTGTAAAACATAAGTCAAGAATCAATTTTATCCCGACACAAAACGAATATGAGGTGTGATTTGAAGAAAACATCTGCCAGCATTCATTGTAAAGACTAATCTAGAAGCAAGTGAAGTAGACAACATGGCCCAATGATAACTGTATAGTTTACTAAAAAACCCCCAGAAAAAAAAAAAATAAAAATCATTTATTTTGAGCGGTACGTTCATTCCCTTAAACAAAGAGACATGCATTGAAAATTTAATAAATTAAAATTTAAAAAATTAGAGGATATAATGATAGCTTTTTTTTTGTTTAATTTTTAATTTTGATAATTTGATAAATTTATTTTATAAAAAAGAATAAACTATTCTTTAGGTTTTTTAATTTATATTGTTTTTATTTTTAATTTGGATAAATTTGTTTTTTATATTTATTTTGTAAAAAAAAAAATTTAAATTTTTTCAATTACGTGTTTACCCTTATATAAAGTTAAAGCTAACCCTAAGTTAGTGTTTACTGTGCCTTAATTGAAGAATATGTAACTTTTGTCCTCTCTGACCTAAAAAGTTTGCACCCTAATGATAATTACCCTTATTCTCCACATCTCAATAAAGTCACATTTCAATTAATATCTTTGTAGCTTCAAGAGCTCTGTCTTTACAGACTGTCACTAAAACCCACCAAAAAAAAAAAAAAAAAAAAAAAAATTCAATCGTAAGTGTGTGCAGTTTTCATGGAATTATCAATTTAGGACCACTTTTACTAAAAACTATAAAAAGAACACGTTTAACTTAATTAAAAGGCCACTTATCACCTAATTCTGTTAATATTAACTGTTGTATGACATTTACTGTAATACCCTTGTTATTAAAACTAATGACATATATTTTATAAGAAAACAAACTAAAGATATTTTAGAAGAGATAGAAAATACTTAAAAAAAAAAAGAACTTCAAAATAATAAATTCTTCTTATATAGTCTTTTACGTGGAAGCCGCAATGCCCACCAATGTCCTTAGCCATGCTATCTCGCACTAAGTCAGCAGTCCATGCATGTTTAAGTGAAAAGAAATGAGGTACAACATGAACACAACTTACGAGATGAATATTTCTGCAAATAGTACTCTCATTTTCATTACAATTTCTTCAAGTGACCACATAATCTCCAACCTAAGATGAAATAATGTCGAAGGAAAAATCAATGAAACATGTGAAATGTGTGATTGTGGTGAGCTCTTGCAAAAAAAATAATCAAGAGCCCAAGTAGGATTTGAGTGTATAAAACTGAGAGATGAGTGTGAATAGATTCACTTGGTTTGTTTTTAAACTTGAGTTTATCTTGTTATTCTCTATTTTAGTCCTCTGCTCGCCAGTATCGTAAATACAGGCATAATTAATCATGTCTTGGACATGGTTTGTGCTTGCACTTGCTGGACTCTTTTTCTTCCTGAAAAAATGGATAGCTAGAAATACAAATAAGAGATTACCTCCTGGTCCAAGAGGGTTCCCCATTTTCGGATGCATTCAATTGTTAGGGAAGTTTCCTCACAGAGATCTTCATCAACTTTCCAAAAAATATGGCTCCATCATGTTCCTACGCTTAGGCTTTATTCCGACAATTGTCGTATCTTCACCTCAAGCAGCTGAGCAGTTTCTTAAGACTCATGATCTTGTTTTTGCTAGCAGGCCTCTTCTTTTGACTGCAAAGCATGTTACTTATGGTCAAAAGAACCTCATCTTAGCTCAGTATGGATCTTATTGGCGCACCGTGCGCAAGATGTGCACCCTGGAACTTCTTAGTAGTGTTAAGATCAATTCTTTCCAAGGTATGAGAAAAGAGGAGCTCAATCTCTTGATAGAATCGATAAAAGCGGGTGTTGCTGCTGGTGTTGCTGTTGATTTAAGTTCCAAGGTTTCGTCTCTTAATGCAGACATGACTTGTAGAATGGTGTTTGGGAAGAAATATGCAGATGAGGAGTTTGATGAGAGGGGATTCAAAGCAATGATGCAAGAGGCTATGGTTTCAATAGCCACTCCTAACTTGGGTGATTTCATTCCTCAAATTGCTTCACTTGATCTCCAGGGGTTGACCAAGCGAATGAAGGCGGTTTCCAAGGTTTTTGATGCCTTTTTTGAAAAGATTATTGATGAGCATGTTCAATCCAAGGATGAAAAAAGAACCAAGGACTTTGTTGATGTCATGTTGACCTTCTTGGGATCAGAAGAAACCGAATACAAAATTGATCGAGAGCGTATCAAAGCCATAATCTTTGTAATTTTTGTTTGATTTTGTGTTCTTGAAATTCAGTTCATCTCAGTGTATTTCTAAATCTAAAAATTCTCTTTTTTCCCATGGATATGATCAGGATATGCTTGTAGCTGCAGTGGACACTTCAGCGACCACCGTCGAGTGGGCACTTTCAGAACTCATGAAGCATCCTGAAACAATGAATAAACTACAGAAAGAATTGGAAAATGATGTGGGACTAGGCAGGATGGTTGAAGAATCAGATTTGGAAAACCTGGAATACTTGGACATGGTTTTGAAAGAAACCTTGAGGCTCCATCCTGTAGCTCCTTTGTTACTCCCTCATGAATCCGTGGAAGATTGCACGGTAAACGGCTTCCACATACCAAAAAAATCACGCATTTTTATAAACGTATGGGCAATTGGAAGAGATCCTGAAGCTTGGACTGATGCTGAGAAGTTTTTCCCAGAAAGGTTTGTTGGGAGTAAAATCGATCTTCGTGGCCGTGACTTTCAGCTTCTTCCATTTGGTTCTGGCCGCAGAAGCTGCCCTGGAATGCAATTGGGACTCACTTTGGTGAGGATAGTGTTGGCACAACTTGTGCATTGCTTTGATTGGGAGCTTCCTAATGGGATGTTGCCAAGTGAATTGGACATGACTGAGGAGTTCGGTCTTGTAGCTCCTAGAGCCAAACATCTCTTGGCTATTCCTACTTATCGCCTCAACAAATGATAATGTTGCTTGGGGCCTCTGGATAAAATATTGATCTTTAACTTCCTGTGGAGAATTCAGGTTGTATGATATTAATAAATCCTGGATATATAAATAAAATCAGGAATCCTAGGTTTTTTTTATTATAAAAAGTTTAACTAAATGAATTTGTATGTCGGTCGATCAATTTTTCCTGCGACTAGAAATGAGTTCTCGCATAATGAATTAGACAGGAATTTCATTTTCTTCTGTGCTGGCTGTATTCCTTTGGAGTTGTTGGGAAAAAGCCACAAACTCAATCTCATACAATCAAAATTAAATGAAAGCAAATCAAATCACCAATCAAATAAGCAAATAAATTAAGGCAGCCATAACCAAATCAAGACACCGAATTTTTTAACGTGAAAAACCTTATAAGAAGAAAGGAAAAACAAGGTGACCATAAACCATGCACACATAAACTTCCACTATTAAAGAATGAGTTACAACAAAAGTTCTTCTCTAAAGAATATTAAGAGCATACAATCAACAATGTTCTTCACTCAAATACAATTATTTAAAAAAAAAAAAAAAAATAGAACATAAAAGTATTTTAAACTTGTATTAAGAAATAAGTTTAATTACCAAATAATCTCTTAAAATTATTAAAAATCCCCATAAAAGTATATATATATATATATAAACATTTAGATAAAGGGTACTTAATTTTTTTTTTTTTTAAATCAATAGAGTTGATAAAATTAAGCAATTGTATTAAGAAGAATTGTAATAATAAATGGCTATAGTATAATCAATTAGGTTTAGGAGAAATAAAATGTATATTAATAGAAAATTTTAATTTATCTTCTTTAATTTTATTAAAAGAGTAGTTTTAAATTTATTTTAAAAAATAAATCTCTTTTTATAAATCTGGAAAATTAATTTACTTTATTATGATATTTTTTCATAAATAAATAAATATATATTATATATATTTAAAGTCCATGAATGAAATTTATTGTTAAATTAATTTTTTTTTTAATTCTATTTTAAAAAAAATAGGGAATTTTATTTACAAGCTATTGATACTATATTTGTTTCATAATTTATATTTTTTTGGAAATTGATTTCAAAATGGTTTATGATGCAAGTGATTTAAGATTGGTATTTAAACTTTCTAATTATGTGATGTCTATTGGTTACATATAATTTCCCTTTTATAATAGTATAATACCAAAAATAATAATAATAATAATAATAATAATAATAATAATAATAATAATTATGACTTAAATAATAATTAATATCAAGCTAATTTGTCTTTAAGTATAACTTGAGTTACAAGAATTAATTTCATAAAAATAATTTATGTTTTATTTTATAAGTGTGAGTCCTCATCAAAGCAAAATAAAAGAAGCGATCCAAACGGTTAAATGTGAAGCTTCGATCACTATCAGCAACATATTGAAATTTCGTCAAAATTGGATTGTGAGGTCGTTAAACCAAGAAAAATTCATTTCTTCCATTTTCTCCATTTTATCTACTCCCTTTTTTTATTTTATTCACTTAATTTGTAGGAGTAAGGGCTGCACTTCTAGGAAAAGCCAATTTGCTTTCTTTTTCTTTTCCTTTTCCTTTACCTTTTACTTTGTTTGAGTAGGCTTATTGAAGCCCCACCACTACATCTCTTTCTAAGCTTTAATAATAGTTAAAATCATTTTAAATTAAATACTTCATATTTCTTTTCCATAATTACCCCTTTTTAATATTTTTCTTCTTAAATCTTTTTGTTAACTCCATCATCCCTATTTTTTCTCCGGTTAGATTTCAGTTGCTATTCTTCCTTTTCATACAATTGAATTGGCTCTTCCTCATCCTTAATTTTCTTCTAGTTAGATTTCAGTTGACGTTCTTCCTTTTTATAAAAATGAATTGGCTTTTCCTCGTACATGTTATTTCCTCTCTAATTTCTTTTACACAATATCTTTATTCCAATCACTTCAACTTCTATGAGAATTTTTGATATAGAAATCTGCACCAACCAGCAAGATTCGATCGACCTTGTCAGGATTGGAATTGATGTGTGCGTGATTATGGGTAATCAGTGATGAGTAAATGATAATGCCAGAAAGTAAATGACAAAGAGAACTTTTAAAGTGGTTAGGCGAAGTTAACTGCCTACGTCCACTGTGTTTTGTGTATATGCTGTGAGAGCTTACAATGTAGTTTTAATCAAGAATTTTTATCCCCCTCCTCATCGTTTTAGGGGGGTTTATATACAAGATTTACATAAAGGAAAGAGCGAAATTAAGGGGATTACAAATGATTTGAACCACAATTCTGATATCATTGCGATTGAGCACTATGTTTGTGCAAAGATAACTGTTGATCCAGTCATTCTCGCGATATCTAGGATCTGAAGTAATCTGGGGATTGATTGATTAATTATTGGGACTATCTGCGACTAGCTTGTGCTAGGTTGAGCTACGACTCAATGAGCTTATGATAGGTCGATTAATCATAGTTGCCGAAATCATTTTGGGCCGAGCTATATTCTTGTGTTGGCCCAAGCTTGGCGGAAAAACCACACACAACATCTGCCCTCTAGTGTTCGATGCTCGTTTCGGGCTTCGAAGACTATCGCTTGATCTAACGCCAAGCTTGGCTTCAACAGTGAGTCTTTGAGTGCATGCTTGATTGGACTTCCACGGTTGACTTTACATTTCATTGATGTTCTTCACACTTGGACATTATTACCTGTGCCATCTGTCAAAACTTAGAATATAAAAAGTCAGGGTATAAAGTAATTTTTGTGTGGTCGTTTCACATTAAATATGGCAGCCTTTGTTAGTTACGTTTGTTAGAGTGGGTGCCCTAGAGCCAATCAATTATTGTAGAATTGACATTTTGTAATAATGTTCATTGATTAATAAAAAGGTATTTTATTCTATATCGCGAAAATCATCATTGTATGTATTGATATATGTCCTTAGAATGGTAGAATCGTGACGAGGGTATCAAGTATTTCAAATCTTGATAGTGAGAACCCTATGAGCACATATGGTGGTTATTCTAGAAACGTTCGTAGCCCTAGTATTGTTTTGAAGTGAGGGCACAGACAATACGGTAAGGCTATCATAGTGTTGAATGACCTTATCAAAAGGCAGTGACTGATCTCACTTGTCAAGGTTGTTTAATGACAACTTGGTGCAACACATGAGTGCTTGCTGTAGGCAAGTTTACTGGACTGACCCACCAGAACATTCCATATGGATGGTAACCCCAGTGTCTATGGAATAAATACTCTAACGAATGGTGGTGCATGTGATCCTTAGATTTGAGATCACCGGAGCGCCTTGTGCACCGATTGGTGTAGTTTGACACTAGCCCAACGCAGTTCTATTCAGAGCTATCAATACGGTAGTGATTGGCTGCATCAAGGAGTGTATTAAGACTATGATAGATCGATAGAGGATTCATCACTCCCGGGTATGAGGGAGGTTATCTCACGGCGCAATTCAGTAAATGGCAATGACACTAAAATTGTGGCCATAATGGGATTGAGTTGTTGCTTTATCCAGATTACTATTCAACTCATTGGTCCAGTAATTGAATAGATACATATCGAGAGTAACTGAGGTTGACACTATTTCTATGCTTCGGTCTCGTTGAGATAACAGATGATGAAGTGATTGAATTGTACGGTAACCATATCGTTAACAGGTAGCTGCTTCTCTGAATCCGAATCTATCGGGTGGCCATGATGCCTTGTTAGGGGCCAATCTTGATCTGTGTGTAGTGAGATGATTAATTAAAGTTAATTGCGATACTACACACTACCGGTATGATAAGGAGCCTATGAGTCACACACATAGAAGATAATTTAAGAACCAGTTTGTAAGAAGGGTGTTTTCGTCCTTTTAGGCAAAAAGGGTATTTTGGCAATCTCACAGTGTAATTAAATTTGCTGAGATCGTAACCTTTATTTAATTTGATATTAAAATTAAATAAGTGAGATTACTTTTAAATATGTGTTCGCATATATTTAAATAAATTATCATTATTGTTAAATGTTAATATATAATATTAATTTAATTTAATTGAGATAATGATGATTAAAATTAAAATATCTAAAAGGGGCTGTTTGGATACAGTGGGTGTTTGGGTTGGTGCCCAAGCCTATTCCATGATGGAATAGGACAAAGTGTGCCCTATATAAGTGCAACACTTTGTGAATTAATAAATGGAATTCATTCAATCATTGAGAGTAAAAATATTCTAGCCCTTTTTTCCTTTCTCCCACGCCAGATTGCCTTTTTGCTTGAATCAAATCTATTTTGATTTCATCTTGGTTCTTAAGGCTAAAGAGGATCTAGCAAATCCCTCTTTATTTCCTTGGGGTTGTCTTCGTGTAGACTACATTGGTTCGATCCTACTCTTGGGTCGGTAGCGAAATCTGTTTAGAGACAAATTGGAGGAGCCTCCAAACGTGCGTATGATTTCTTAACTCTAGACTGAATTTTTCGTAGATTCTTATTTAATGTATAAACTATAAATTTGTGCCCTAATATTGGCTCCAAGGAACGATCCATGTAGTAAATAATTTTTGTTTTCTGCTGCCATGACTTGATCGTTTCTTTCGTGTAGGTGACAACAACTGTTCACACACGAAGTTAAGGCGTTATGCAATCAAAGTTATCATTTTTTATGGTTCTTCATACCTTTGTGGATGGTCGACATGTGGCCATGTCCAAGGGTTGAGATCGCTCAATGAACAAAGGGCTAGGATAAGTTGTGAGTCGATGGTCAAGATTGAACTCTGCCATTTCATCTTCCATGTAAAATCATTGTAAAAGGTGGCGAATATTCAGAGCAACCACTTTGAAAGTTCTTCCACCGTTTTGCTTTTTTTTGTCGTTGCTCTTACGTCGTCATGATGGTCTTTCTTACGAATTCTCAACACTCTTCTTTGTTCTGGTAAGACTTCTTTCTCCTTTTTACTCATTTTTCTGACTTTTGTGCTAAAGGGTGGCTGCTGTAGTGGCCACATTGGATGTTTTAAGATTTTAGTAGGGTTTTTGAGGTGCATTTTTTGCGGTCTCGGGTTTTAAAGGGGTTTAATCATGGTGTACTGGTGTCCTGGGTAGGTCGCACGACTTCGTTGTGT